ATAAAGACCCAGCCAGCATCAGACTCCCAGCTGGTCACTCAGGCGGTGGACTACTTCAAGGTAAGTCCTGGCTCTCCGACTTTCCGACGCAGAACAGGCCTGAACCGGCTCACTGTGTTAATAGTGTGTGTCTGCAAATGGTTAGTTTGTAACGCATGTGCGAGTTTTTAGATCCTTGCCCGAAGGGTGTACTGTCCATTAACCACACAATTTAAACTTGGCCTGAAATCCATCCATCCATCCGTTTCCTCTACACTTTATGCAATTAAGGGGGTTGCGAGGGATGCTGGAACCTATCCCAGCAGGCAAATGGTGCAGGGCAGGATACACCCTGGACAGGACGCCAGTCCATTGTGGGGCAGACGGGCACACACTCACCAGTATGTCTGTGGACTGTGGGAGGTACCCGGAGTGTAAATAAATGAGACACAATGTTTCAGCTGTGGAGCCTTCTCCTGACACCTGAAGAAGGCTCCACAGGTGAAACATTGTGTCTCTTTTCTTTTCTGCAGAGAGTAGACCTTTACCTGTTCTTGTTGGATAATCAAGCCTGAAACTAACTGAGCTCTCCTCCTCTCATCACCTCCTCTTGTCTTCTCTCCTCTCCCCCCCCCCCCAGCTCCGACAGCAAGTGGTGGGATGCCTAGGCCCCACGGGGCCTCCCAGGGCCCCACTCTCCCTGCCCCTCTGCCTGCAGGCCCCTGTCCAGAGGCTCCAGGAGTACTGTGAGCTCCTGGAGGAGCTGAGCGCCCTGGGGGCCCCCCACACCCCCCCTGCAGGGCCCGCTGCCCTCGCCGTGCTCCGGCACGCTCTGAGGCACGGCTGGGACCTCCGCGCCAGCACCCTCATCACTGGCTGCCCGGTAAGATCGCCCAGAGCCACGTGGTCTCCATCGTGGTCTCCATCGTGGTCTCCATCGTGGCCTTCATCGTGGCCTTCATCGAGGCGCAATGGAAAACCAGCACAGGCCGCACAGTGAGGACAGGCTCCCTCCTTTGAAAAAATGCTCCTTCTTGCAGTCGGGGCGGGATTAGCTTCTTTGTTGTTGTAGTTGCCAGCAGCTCACAGCTGGCAGCCCCACTGGAGCTCAGCAGGCCTGAGTCTGGTCAGTACCTGGATGGGAGACTCCTGGGAAAGCTGAGGCTGCTGCTGGAAGAGGTGTTAGTGGGGCCAGTAGGGGGGGGCTGAGCACCTTCCACACGCAGTACCTCCACTGTGGTTTGTGGGTCCTAATGCCCCAGTACAGTGACGGAGACACTATACTGTAAAAAAGGCCACCTTCCTGCGTATGAGACATAAAACCCAGGTCCTGACTCTCT